TCGCCGTTCAAGACTAGGAGGAAATAAGATAACTGCTAGAAAGAACAATGGGAATGTTTGCTAGAGGAAATGTTGTGCTCAGAAAAAGTACTTTTGAAGGGTTTGTAGATATTTGAAGTCCCAATGGAATTATAACAACGCGTGCAATACTTTCTTATTCTACACAGATTTTTTTTTAAATTCTAAGCTCACATTGACTAAAACCGCAAGCACCAATCAAAAAACAACAGTAATTCGTAAACAGCTTAAATAATTTTAAAATGCACAACCAATGCCACAAAGGGATAAAGGAAGTCTCACATATATCTGGTTCCTCGAAGACATTAGTCATAACTATCCAAAATCATGCGCAAAATGTTTCATGTCAAACACTGTATTCCATATTTCTTATTCCGAGGGCTAAGCCGAGAAAATTCTAAATCACCGCTGGTATCTAATTATCTGCCTAAATCCTTTTTAATTACTTTGACTAGGCAATTTTTGCCACTGTATATCCATTTTTTTGTGCTGTTATAAATCCGATCATTATTATACTTGGGCAAAATTTTACATATTTTTATTACTGTGTTTAATAGTACACTTGATTATACTGGCATTTATGAATATTCTGATTCTGCGGGTCTTCTGATGGAGTGTGTTATTGGAATTGCTTTTAAAGACTTTGTAATTATTGCTGCTTATTACAGAATTAACATTTCTATCATGACACTAAAAGGCCATGCTGACAAAGTGTTCAAATCAAGTAATCATAGTGTTATGGCTGTCTGTGGTGAGGCTGGGGATGGTGTTAAATTTGTTGAATTTATTCAACCAAACATGCAACTGTACGAGATTAGAAGTGATTGCGAGTCGACACCTTATGCAGCTGCAAACAACCAGGAAAAATTTGGCTGAAGCTCTTCGCAGCAGAACTCCGTACAATGTTAATTTGCCACTCGCTGGTTACGACCCGAAGGACGGACCTTAGTTGTGCTCTATAGATTATCTGGCTTCCATGATTAATGTACCGTATGCTGTATGTGGTCATGGCGTCTTTGTTACTCTTGGAATTTTTAATAGCCAGTACGATCCTTCAATGAGCGTCGACTGTGCCTTTAAACTTCAGGAAAATTTCGTCCGTGAGCTTGAAAAACGATTTGTTGTTAACAACGATCAGATCCCTGTTTGCGTCGTGAATAAGAAAGGAATCAATCACCTGTCTGACTTGGTTTAATTTGTCTGTTTCCCTGTAATAAAGTGTTTTTCAGTCTGAAGTGCCTTGTAAGTATGGTGATACTTTGATATTTGCAAAGGGTGCCCTTATGCGGTTTTATATAGATCGTTGTCGGGGTAAAATCTTCTAGTCGCGAATGTCGCTTTATTTGGGGCAATGGTCTCATTACATAGTTTGGGGTGGAAAATTGTTTTAGTCTTGTGTCCAAAATTATCGTTGCCTTAATTTCCTCTACGATCATTTTTTGATCTAATGTTTCCCCACATTCGCTAAGTTGTACCAATATTTCACAAATCTGATGTAGTGTGTTTCAATTGGCAAGGCCTCAGTATGCCTTAGCTCGTATTTCTTTACTGCCCCGAAAATGTACCTCGCATTTGTGATGCTACCTTGCATCGCTTTAATCTTATTGACAATTAGTGCTTAATTTACTGCTCTCTAGCGAGGCATGTGTTTAGCATTGTTAGTTTGTCATTGTGCAGACTGGATCGGTGTTCATACACGTCAATTTTGCGCCACTTGTAGACTTCCATTGCTTCAAGTCAGTGTTTAAAAATGTTATTGAACTCAAACGATTAGTACTTTGGCCGCTCCTCCTATTAATCCTATTGGGGTTACGTATTTACGGGTGTCCTGCTACGCTAGTCTATGTCCTCGTATGTCTATGCCTTGGTCTACTTACTGTTTTAATGCTGATGGAAGTGCTAATGCTGCGATACTT